TGGGTGGTTTCTGTATTATTTGTTTCCTTCCCCAGACATCCGGCATGGAGCAAACAGCCGGGATGCGACTGTCCCTGCTCCCATCAGAAAATTGCTGTAGGACTTGTGCTCCAGCCTGTGCTCCTGTCCCCATTCTGGGTTTCAGCATGTCCCCAAACCCAACGGGAAGCACCGGGAGCCCGTTCTACTCCCAGGACGTCTGAGGCTCAGGAAATACAGCCCAATGTCTCAGCGGGTAAATCAGCTCCTATCTCACCCTGTGTGCTCACATCGGTGTCTGCTGCGTGCACAGGCTCCGGGACGCCCCTGCTTCCCCTCAAGAACCCATCTCGCCACGGAGCCAGCCGTATGTCTGCTCTGCACAAGCCTCCACCAGTGCAGCCAGCCGTTTCAGGGACAGAGTTTTCCTTTTTGCCCTCTCTTTTTTTCCTAGGGACACAGGTCCGAGGCGGGTGGGACTCGGGCGACTCTCAAAGTGGCCTCGCTCCTTTCTTCTCCCCCTTCCCCCTGGCGCAGCGACGGGAGGGAGCCGAGCCGAGCCGAGCCGAGGACGGGGGCCAGGCGGGGTGGGCACCGGGGGGCTCGGGAGGGCCGGAGCCGCGGACACAGGAGCGGGACCCAAGAAAGCGACTGGGGGCGAGTGGGGTCTGGGTCCGGAAGGGTCCCTGGCCCGCCGCGCCCCACACCTGCCCCGTTCCCGCAGCTCCCGCCCCGCCCCGGCCCTGGGCGGGGGCACCGGCTCCTGCTCCGCCCAGCCCCGCCCGCCCGGACTTTACCTCCCGGCCGGGCCCGCGCCGTTCCGGGCCATGTGAGCCGCGGGGCCGGGCCGCGGGGCCGCACCGGCTGTGGGATGGAGCGCAGGAAGGTCTTCGTGGCACTCGACGTGCTCTGCCTGGCGGTCGGTGAGGGCTCCGTACCGGCGGCCCCGCCGCGGGCGTCTCCGGAGCGTCTCCGCGTCCCGCCGCTGCCCTCAGTGGGCCGCGCCCTAGGCTGGGGCCAGGTCCGCGGGAGGTACCGTGGCCGGTGCCGCCGGGCCGGGGGCAGCGTGGGAGGCACCTGCCCGGCCGATGTCCGGAGCTCCGGGCCTCCGCCGAGAGCCACCGGCGGCGCGGGCGGGGACGGGCGCCGGCTCCTGCCTCAGCCCTCCCGGGTTCCGTCGGGGGTCCCGGTTCTCGGGGCCGTTCCCTTTTCCGGGAAGGGTCCCGCGGGGGGGACGGGAGCCCGGTCTGTCCCTGGCCGGGACGCTGCGGGAGGGTGCCTGGGTTCGGGCGGTACCGGGACGCTTCCTCCGCCGCCCTGGCCGCCTGCCCGCCGCCGAGCCTGGGCTGGGGGCTCCGCAGCTCCGGGCCGGGGGGTTCGGAGCACCCCTTCTAGGACCCCCTCGCCCTCCTCAGTGCGGGTAAATGTTTCTAAAACTGCCGCAAGGAAGTAACGAATTAAGACGGACTAAAAATAAAGGCCCCGATCGGGATCGCGGCTGGAGCTTCCCTGGCTCCAGGGCGGGGGGAGGCCGGGTCCCGGTGCCCACTCGGAGCGCGTTTCCCTCTTTTGGGCCGGTGCTTTATATTTTTAGGGGAGCTTTTTTTGGAGGATGAAATTATCCCGAAAGAAAATTGGTTTCTAATTTGAGCTGAAAATGGACGTCTGAGGTGTGCGGGGAGGAGGCGGAGGGACTGGGACGGTTCCCTGCCCCTGGCAGCGCGGCGGGGGTGGCGAGGCAGCCCCCGGTGCTTCAGCCGCGCTCCCTCCCGCTCGCTCGATGAGCGCAGGAGGCGGCGGGACCCCCGGGGTGGGGACGGGCGGGGACAAAGGTGCGGGCTCCCAGGAGATGGAGGAGCAAGGGGAGGCGGAAACCACCGGGAAAGGCGGAACTGGGAGAGGAGCCCGGCCTAAGGTGGCCTCCGGGGAGGGGGGGGGCGCTTCCCTGGGGAGCGTCTTGGGATCTGTCCTTGGCTGCTCCTGAGCAGGGATGGAGCAGGGGCAGGGGGGGGCATTCTAGCGGGGAGCTGGCACCGCTGCTGTGCGACGCAGAGACCCAAAACCCCCTCTGGATCTCGGGGACGGTTCTGTCCCGGGTGAGCTCGCAGCTGCCCATGGCCGGGGTTGCAGAGTTCTGGGTGGAAAATTTCCTTGTCCAGGCTGACCCAGCCTCTCTCCAGAGTCCCGAGGAGCAGGGGGCAAGGAGAGGTTGACAGAAACAAGCACTGTGGGAGGATGAGAGGGGCAAGCCAAGTGTGCTGGAGTCCCACTGTGCCTGGACTGGGTCAGGGACCAGCATCTGCTAGCACTGGCTCTCCTGGAGCTGCTGTGAGGGTTCTGCTGGGACCATCTGGGGCCCTTCCCTGCTGTAAAACAGGTTTGCAAGATACCTGTGCTCATTAACTTTATCAGCTCTGTCTTCCTAAGATGAAAGACTGGGCAGTGTAAGGAGAGGGCATAGGGTCAGGTCTTGCCACTGTTGTGCCTGGGGAGGAGTGGGGCAGCCGTAGAGGCTCTGTGGGTGCCCGTTTGTGGCTGTCTCATGTGGTATCTGGGTGCTGCAGGCATCTGTGAGCTCTGATAGGGCCCTATCGCTGTTAGGGCAGTGCACTGGTGGGTTCAAGTCCTTCTGCCCTGGGTACAGGTGGCTCAGGACTTCATTCCTGGGAGGGATCCCTCCCTGGCATCAGGGAGCAGAGACTTAGGGACGAGAGATGGATGGTGCTGTGTGCTGGTGTGGAGCCTGCTGGCAGCTGTCCCCAGTCCTCACCTCTCTCTACCTTGCAGCGTCTCTGCCCTTCATCATCCTGACTCTGGTGAACTCCCCATACAAGCGAGGCTTCTACTGCAACGATGACTCCATCCGCTACCCCTACAAGGCAGACACCATCACCCACGGCCTCATGGCTGGGGTCACCATCAGCTGCACTGTTATCATTGTAAGGAACTGCCACCCCTTTCCTCCAGGACAGGGTCATGCTGATGTGTTGTATCTGGAAGCTGGGGCCCAGCACAGCCACCTCCAGAGCCCTGAAAGGGCAACAACACCCTCAGCTTGAGCCCTGCTCTGCTTGGGGGCAGGAGCTCCCACTGGAGTGGCAAGAGCCTCATCCCGTGGGACTGGTTCCCTGCAGGGAGGGGGAGAGGGCCCAGGGGCTCCTGTGGCAGGTGGATGCCAGGGGCTCCTCTGCCACAGAGCCAGAGCATCCTGCACCCCTGGGAGCTGCTCAGTAGCCCCAGCCCTCACCCCTTGCCCTCTGGTCTCTGCAGATCTCATTGGGGGAGGCGTACCTGGTCTACACTGAGCGTCTCTACTCCAAGTCAGAATTCAACAATTACCTGGCTGCCCTGTACAAGGTGGTTGGGACCTTTCTCTTCGGGGGGGCCATCAGCCAATCTCTGACTGACCTGGCCAAATACATGATCGGCCGTCTCCGGCCAAACTTCCTGGCTGTCTGCAATCCTGACTGGTCCAAGGTGAACTGCTCCATCTATGTGCAGCTGGAGAATGTCTGCCAGGGAGAGAGCAGGAACATCACCGAGTCCAGGTGAGCCATGGTGCCACAGGATGTGTCTCTTCCACCTGCCCAGCAGTGCTGGGCTCACAGTGGCAGCCTCAGATGGGTATTGGGGCTCTCCTGTTGCAGGGCAGAGCTTGTGGAGTGGGTAGGGATCTTGTGGGGACCAGCTGGGGGCTCACTCATGGCCTGACCCATCCCTTTTGCCCCACAGATTGTCCTTCTACTCGGGACATTCTTCCTTTGGGATGTACTGCATGATGTTCCTGGCGGTAAGTGCCACACCACAGGAAGCCCCCACGGGTCCCATGCCCCAAGCACCCATCACTGGGCTGGCTGCTGACCCCTGCCCTGGGTGATTTGTCCCTTCTTTGCCGCCCAGCTCTACGTGCAGGCCCGGCTGGTGGGGAAGTGGGCCCGGTTGCTGCGTCCCACCATCCAATTCTTCCTCATCGCCTTTGCCATCTACGTGGGCTACACCAGAGTGTCCGACTACAAGCACCACTGGAGCGACGTGCTGGTGGGGCTGCTGCAGGGGGCTCTCATTGCCGTCCTCATTGTGAGTGTCCCCCGTGCAGCCTGGGCTCCTGCTTGACCTGGCACAGGCATCCCCAAACCATCTTTCCCGTTGTTCTTTTCCAGGTCCACTACGTCTCTGACTTCTTCAAGCACCGTCCCCCACGGCAGTGTGAGGAGAAGGACCCGGAGCGCAAGCCCAGCCTGCCCCTCACCCTGAGCGACCCCGACCACAATCACTACAGCTACCGGGGTGCCCCGTGAACCCGGACTGCACACCTGCCCCTTGCCGTGCTCCTGGCACCGGGGATAGGGACACTGGCTCTCTATTAACCATTGGCTCCACGGCTCTGGTGCCTCTGGCTGACACAAGTGGGACAGCCCTGCCTGCTCCCACTCCCACAGTGCCACTCCGCCTGGCTCCCCGTGCCCGTGGTGCTGCCGGTACCTGGTGATGCCAGCGCCCTGCCCGTGGGAAGGGGATGTCCTCACCCCCTGTGCGTCTGAGCCACGCCCCAAGGCTGCTGTCCCAGCCCTCCGTGCGGAGGAAGGGAGGGAAGGAGGGAGGGAGGGGAGGGTGGCACGTGGGGGTGGATTTATTGGGCTGGCAAAGCACACTGAGCGAAGAGCAAACTCCTTGGGAAGTCTGAGATTGCCTGGGCCGAGTGTGTGTTGTCCCTGTCAAATTATCCAGCCATACAAGTACAAATCCTCACAGGCGCAGAGGGAAGAGGACAGCTGCTGGGCTAGCTATACTTTTTTGGAAAGGATTAAAGCAATCCAGAGCTCTTCTCTGCTCCATTGATTACCTTTAAGAGCAATGCTGCCCGCCAGCAGCTGCTGTGAGCAAAGGATGCCTGGCCAGGCTCTTCTCTGGCTGTGCCCAATTCTGCAGTGCTGGGAGCCAGAGCTCTTTGCTCCCTGCCTGCTTCACGCCTGGCTTGGGCAAAGGGATGCTCCAGCCTTTGTCCCTCCTGCAGCTTCAGCTGATGCTTTAGGGTGTGTGGTGGGGCTAGGGAGACATTTTCTGTGGTAAAGGAAAATAAATGGGGATGTGGAGCTGTCCAAATGTCCTGGGAATGTGGGAGCAATGGGTACAGAGCAGTCCCATCACTGACACGTGGCTGCCTCCAGCACTGGAGTGCTGTGGGTCTCTTTTTAAAATACATGCATTTTCATTCTGATGTTGTTTTTAAATTAGATCATCCTTAAAGAATGTCTGTGTCAGGCCTGTTCTCTTTTTTCATGGATGCTCCTGGCCTTGAAGTGGATGGGCTTAAGTGTTTGAGTTTTCCTTTCCCCAGGGAAAGGTGTCTGAAGCCCCTCAGCTGTAGATGGGGGCTGTCAGGGCTGCTAAGCCATTCTCCCAATTGCACTGGGAAAGGTGGGCTTGACCAGGGCTGCTGGGAATAGCAGAATCCTCGAGCCAGGTGCTCCTTGCCTGTGATGCCTGTGAGGTGTCACATTCACAGGGGCTGTGCTTAGGCTGGGCAGCCCTTTGAGCTGAAGAAAAGATGTGGTTGGCATGGGGCTCCAAGACCCATCCCAGCCAGGTCCCTCCTGGCACTGCCTTTGTCCTGACCCAGGAGCCTCCTGCACTCTCCAGCATCGCAGCCCTGCTCTGTGAGGGAGGAGGGAAAGCAGGGAGAGGCTCTTGGAAAAAGTGACGCTTTGTGCCTGCAGCTCCCTTGGCTGCTCGGGCAGCCGGAGCAGAGGGAAAGCAGGGAGGGAGCTGAGAGCCTTGGATCAGTGACCTGTGTCCCTCTGCTACCCAGGGGCTGTGCTGGGGACAGGTGACATGGCCAGGCTGGGGGAGCCTGGGGGCACAGGACTGCTGGGAAGAAATGATGGATGCCGGGAGGCAGCACCCTGGAAGCCCGAGGGTCTCCCCAGCCCTTTTGAGGGTGGGATGGGCAGTCCCAGGGTCAGCTCTTGCCCACACTCGGTGAGTGCAGCTCCTCTGTCCTGCTGGGAACAGCAGGAAGCCCCGGGCTGGCTGCGTGGTGTTGATGTGCTTGTGCAGTGTGGGTGACTCCAGTCTAGACAAGCCCTGATCAAAAACAACCTCCCTATGTGGAGGGAACTCCCTTTCCCTGACGCTACTTTTCTGTTTTCCTCTGAGAGCCTTCTTCCCACAAGTACTTCCCTGCTCCCCCAGCAGGGTCCTCCCCCCATCCCAGCCCTCCAGGCTGGTTGTTTAATATCTGTTGGTGTAAAACAAAGCTGGAGGAAGTGCCAGGGCAGGGCAGCTCTGCCGCAGGGTTTGCAAACAAAGATCGGCAAAGGTTCGGCAGCTCCTGGAGTTGGGCAGTGAGGCACAGCCCAGGTTTGGGAGCTGCCTGCTTGATTTTTCCTTTGGCCTGCTGTGGTGCCCAGCAACTACCCCAGTTCCTGGCACTGCCTCGACAGCTCCTCTGTGTAGCCAGGAACGTGCCTGCTCCCTTCCCTTGAGATCTGATTGCGCCCCTTGGATGCATCTCTGGAAAAACCAGCCGGGCCACAATGCTGCAGTGTGCGGCTCCGAAGGGCAGGGCTGGCTGCTGCGTGTTGGGAGCTTGGCTGCTCCAAACCCCAGCTCACAGCTGTGCCTTGTGCAGGATGGGCTGAGACCTGACCCAACTCGTGGTATGCCAAGCCACATGTAAGCTACAGGAGCTCCTGAGCCGTGTCCAGGCACAGCAACCTGCTCCAGGTGTGCTCCTTGGCCCATCTATGGAGGGACAGGGATGCTGGCGTGGGGCTGCCTGTGCTGGCCCCTCAGCCCCATGGGTGCCAGCAGAGCACCTGGGGAAGGCAAAGCAGGTCCCTTGTCTGCTGTGAAGTTTGGGATCCATCCTAGACCTGGTCATGGCTGAATGCCACAGCACACTGACTGCTGCTGCAGCTTCCAGCTGGACCCTGCTGCCTTGAGGGTCTGAGCCCTTAGAGAGGCTGGGTACTGCTCCTGGGAGCTGAGGAGAAGGGAAGCAGTGTCCAGGGGTGGGATGAAGCCTGTGCTCCTCTTTCTTGATTCAAGGCTTGAGCTTGTACTTCACTGGACGGGTCAGAGCTAGTAAGAGTTCTGTCCATCCTGTTTAGTGAGTCCCAGGATGCCCCTCTGGTGTTCAGGGTGAATTGTGGCTCTGGGCAGTGTGATGACTCGTGACTAGAGTGTCACCCTTTTAAGTGGGTGACTCAGGAGCTGGGGATCCAGTCCTGGTTGTGCTGGGGCAGATTTTGCTGCGGGCTGAAGCCAAGCAGCGTTGGCCTGGGAGGCATGGCTGGGACCTGATGAGAGCCGTCCTGTTCCCCGGCGTCAGCAGCTCCACGCACCAAGCGCTCTGCCAACACGCCTCTCTTCCAAAATAAGCTGCTTCTGGCAGCACATAGCCAGGATCTGGCTTCCAGCCCGTCTCTAGAGGGGGCCCAGAGCTGCCTCCCCCAACCTGTGCCTCCTGGCTTCTTCCCACCGTGCCACGCAGCATCCTCCCTCCCTTCTCCCTGGCACCTGGGACTCGTGCCGATTCCACGAGCTTGGATTGCCCTGGTCCCATCCCCGAGTTTCTCTTCGCTCTTGGCTTCTTTCCCTGGCTGAGCGGGGCAAGAGGCGGGCGAAGGGGCTGAGTTCCTCTGTGCCTGCAGCAGCTTCCAGGAGCGGGCAGCAGCCCTGCCAGGAAGGATGTTACTCATCCCCTAAACATCCCCTTCCCTGGATGGCAGCCACGGGAGATGCTGCGGCCAGATGCGTCCGCGGCTCAGGGGCCTGAGGTGGCCCCGGCTCGGGGATGTGCTGGGGGACACCGATGCCATCGCACCCTCGGGTGGGATGAGGGCAGCCCCCGCCCGAGGGCAGCCCAAGCCTCGAGGGCCTTCCCCCCTCGGCGTGGCGCGGTCAGGGAGGCGGTGGGTGCCGAACCGGGACACGCTGAAGTGGCGGTGCTGGCCCGGGGGAGCTAGGGGGGTCCAGCCCGGTGGGAACCGCGGGGACGGAGTCCGGGCTCGGGTCTCCCAGCTGCCCCGGCCCCGGGGGCACCGGCCGGGAGCGGGCACTGTCCCGTCCCACCGGGGCGGCAGGGGGCAGCAGGAGCCCGGCGGAGCCTCCGAGCGGAGCCCCGGTGCCCCGGCCGGAGGAGCCCCCGGTCCCGCCGCCCAAGCTCCGGTGTCGCCCGCTTTGCCCGGCCCGTCCTCCCGGGTCGCTGCGTGGATCCAGATGCTCCCTCCAGCTTCTCTTGTCTTTCTCCTGCTCCTCCTCCTCTGATCCCACCAGCGCTGCCTCCCCCACTCCCTTTAATCGACGTTTCCGCTGAAATGTGCCCGGTTCCACGGATTTCTTTGATCTCACTAAGGGAAGAAGGGAGCTATAGAAGAAATTAAATCGGCGCAGAAGGAGGAAAGGAGAGAGGAAAGCACTCTCAGGGGAGGTTGTTAAACGTCTCCTCTTTCTCACCAGAGCACCAGACAAGAAAGAATCTGTCCTCGCCGGTGCCTGTCCCGGGTCACCTGCGCTTGGCGCTGACCGGGGATGTCCCTGGGCAGAGCAGGCGCTGGGATGGCACCGCTGGAGCCGCACAGGAGCCCCGGCCCCGCTCGAGCCGCGCTGGCATGCGGGGAGCTGGCAGCCGAGCCCGGGGAAGCAGCCAGAGGGTACGAGCAGCAGTTTTGTTTTCTGCCGCTTGCCAGGGTCCGCGCAGAGCTGCAGCGCTGCCAGAGACGTGCTCTGGGAAAGCGCTTGGCTGCTGAGCCCCGGGCCCTGCGGGGTGGCTGGCTCTGCCCCACCGGCCCTGGCTCCTGCTCAGGGGCAGTTCTGACCCGTGGCTGCGGGTGAGGGGAGTGTTCTGGGTCCTTTCCTGCCGCTTTCCTGCCATGGCACTTCTACCGAACCAGAGCTGCTCTGCCAGGCTCCCGTGGCTGCGGGTCCCTCCGGTCACGGCAGGGATCACCCTGCTGCTGGGCTGTCCCTGCTGCAGGGACCTCCTGTCTGAGCACAACCAACGTGGTGTGAGCCAGGTCGTGCCTGCCAAACCTGCGCCTCTCCCCGGCTCCCTCCGCCCGTGCCAGGATGATCAGCCGTGGTGATGGACGGCGTTGCCAGAGCCCTGGTACCAGGGATGGGATAGAGGGACTGCTGGTGAGGACAGGAGAGATGGCAGTGACAGGACTTTCCTCATCAGTGCTGGAATAGCGTTTCCCTGCCTCTGCCAACATCGTCCTAATCCTGCAGCCAGGGGGTACAGCTCAGCCTGTCCCTAGTCCCAAATCCTGAATGGTTGAGGCCTCCCCGAGCACAGCACAATGTGCAGGGGCTGCTGCAGGGGGGCTGGCCCTGGGGCAGAAGGGATCAACGGGATCCTGCCCTTGCTGGAGTCCCTGTTCTCTTCTTCTCCCTTGGTCTCTCCACTCAGCCAGGCCCTCATACGTGTCTTGGCCCCCTCAGCCCCATGGTGTAATGCTGGGAAGCAGAAGGGCAGGGGGGACGGGGTTCCCAGGCTAGGGTGAGAGGTTTAGAGCAGAGATGGTGCCTCAGTCCAGCTCTAAGCTGCCTTTTTTTTTTTTTTTGGTGCTATTTTAATATTTTGCCTTAACATGACCTTGGCCAAATTATTTCCCCTCTGTTTGAGATTTATGGGCCTCTTCCAGAAATGATCTGTTCTGTCTACGAAAATAGACATCGTGCTGTTATTACATTTTAAAATATAATAAGGCTTGGGAGACTGCTCTTCTGCTGCTCTCCCCAGCAGCCCCCCTCTCTCTACAGAGCACAAACCCCACGGGTTGCTGGTGTGGGGCCAAGAGTGGTGCAGTGAGAACAGGGGCATCCCCAGCTCCGGAGTGGGGGAGTCTCTCCCTGTCTGCCCTCAGCAGAGCTGGAGTAACGGGAGATCTCCCATCTGAGATCGCAGCTGCTCTCAGAAAATCCCGGGGCTGCCAGGGAACAGACTGGGCAAAATGGGGCTAAACGAGCAGGGCTTCCCACAGTGGAACTAAGGGCGGTCCCTGACTCAGTAAAGGCAGCAGAACCTGGCTCAAAGCCGGAAAATCCTGCTCCCAGCCCGAGGGGCCAGCACAACCCAACACCCCCAGGACTGCTGAGTCCTTTGGGCAGGGTGGCCCTTGCACGGTCCTGCTCTGTTTCAGTGGGTTTGTTGAGGTTTTGATTGTTATTGTTCTTTTTTTCCAGGGGCTGGAGGCAAGTTGCTGTCGCTGA